GAAAAAAGTGGTGTGTGCCATGTGATCATCCCTAGCCTTTCCCTTTGCTAGCAGAAGTACCTAAAACCAAAACGGAAAACTGTAAGCACGAAGCTTAGTGTGCTCCCCAAAACTACCACATACCATACAAATAACATGCAACTAGGAGATACGGGCCCCGCCCACTCTCATGGAGATTCAAGCCCCACCCACACTCCTCCGTCTAGGAGATTCAGGCCCCGTCCACACTCCGTTGCTAACATGCATACAAGTATCACACAGACAACAAGTATATCTATAAAATAGTCACATAACTATACTCAAATAATGCTACGAGATCTGGGCCCCGCCTACACTCAACTACTAACATATCACATGTACGAGCCGACCTTGGTGCCTTAGACCCGTTCCTACTGAAGGAAAACCCACCTCTCAAACTAAATGCTAAACTCGTGCATGAGGAAATCTCTGCTGGCTACTCCCACATCTCCTGGCTAACTCCATACAATAATACTTAGTTATAAAATCTGATAATCTTGCTTAGGGTAAAATAACCATTTTACCCTTAGTTAAAGTCAACATGTTGGTTGACTCAACTCGCTGAGATATCCTATCGACTCGCCGAGTCCTAAGTCCTAATACTCACCACTCCTGATTCTGCGATCCAACTTGCCGAGTCATCCCCCCTGACTCGTCGAGTTCCTGGGCTACTACTCATCGTGATTTAGCGAATCAACTCGCCAAGTCACCCTCAGATTCGTCGAGTTCTAGCATGCTCAAAAATGGTATAATACATCTCAATTCGTCGAGTTCCTCTATGGACTCGACGAGTCCCTCTATCTGTTTGGGCCCTCTTAACATATTAAGCCCCTACACTTTGGTCTCAATTTCCATACTACTTCTACATGCTGGTCCTGTCCTCTTAAGGGTAAAATTTCCAGCTTTACCTCTTTATGACTCGTCTTAATGGGTTTAGCCAAAACCCTAATTCCTTTAGGACATAGATCATGTCCAAAAAGTAGGGGTGTAAGTGATCCGAGCTACTCGGGATCGACTCGTTAAAAGCTCGACTCGGGATCGAATTAAACAAGTCTGAGCCGAGCTCGAGCCTAAATATGAGGAACGTTTATTAAACGAGCTCGAACCAAGCTTCAATTAATAGGCTCGCAAGCTTACACACACACACACACACACACACACATATATATATATATATATAGAGAGAGAGAGAGGCTCATTTCGGCTAGATTAGGCTTGCGAGCCCACTAAATTGTTCACGAGCTGAGCTAGATATTCATTTTAAGGCTCGAATTGAGCTCGAGCTTCCCCAAAATTAAACGAGTCGAGCTCGAGCTTGGTCAGGCTCGGGCTCGGGTCGGCTCATTTACACCCCTTCCAAAAAGCCTTAGTATCCTAAACCAAAGCATGAAAACCTAGATCTAGGGATACCAGTTAATCACGTAAAGTATCAAGCTTGCTTCCATGCATGGTCTTTTAGGGCTAAAAAGGCCATATAAATGCTTAAAAGCTTGCATGGGACTTCCATGGTCATAAAGTTTGCACATTTATGCCATGGAACCCCTCCTAGATTCTAGATCTGAAATATAAGTCACTTGGGATGTTTAAATACCAAAGACCAAGGTTCTTGAACCAAAACCCTCATAAATTGGAAGTAAATAGATCTAAGAAAGAATGATCACATTAGAGACTTGATTACCAGAAAATGTAACAAATGGAGTGTAACTTCTGGATCTACCCTTTCCCTCTTGAGCCCTCTATCTTCTTCTTCTTTCACAAGCTTCAAAAGTGCACAAAGATCACTCAAAATGGCTCACACACTCAAGGAAAGCTCTAGGGTTTCGTGGATTAGGGTTTGGGACAAAGAGGTTGGAAATGAGGCCAAGGGTTGGGGATCAAGATGCTTAAATAGGGTGTAAAACCCCGAAAATAGAGTTTTGCTCTGGACGAGCTACTCATCGAGTCGGGGATCTCGAATCGCCGAGTAGATAGCTCAAACCCCGCACATACTCTGCCCTCTACTTGACGAGTTAGGGCCACCAACTCGTCGAGTCCTTCTTTCAAAATAAATAAATAAATAAATAAAATGGGTACCAGGAACTAGGCGTTACACCTTTGGATTGTTATTTTGTTTTATCGCATGATTGTATGTTGTGGCGATCTGTTAGATTTGTATCCTAGTATATAGGATGATGCTATGCTTAGTGATCTGTTAGATTTGTATGGTTGTCATTATAATCTAGCTAGGGTTTGATATGATATATGTTGATATGTGATGGTGTGTTGGGTTGAGGCGGTATTACTATATGTTGAAGGTCGAGAGACCCAGGGCGTCCCGAATAGATTGCAGACCCGAGGGGCGTACCAATCAGGCCGAAGGCCCGGAGGACGTTCCAGATAGTTTGAAGGCCCGGTGAGGTGTACCACTCATGTTGAAGGTTCTGTGAGCGTACCAAGTAGACTGTAGATCAGTGGGGGAGTTCCAGTTAGACTGAAGGCTCTGTATGCATGATGTTTGTTGTTGTTATTATGATTATGTGTTGTGTTGGTACTTTAGGGGAAACTCACTAAGCGTTGTTTTTCAGTTTTAGGTTATGTTTCAGGTATTTAAGAGGATCACGAGAAGGCGAATGTATGACCGTACATATTCTCATGTTTTGGACTTATGATCTTGGGAAACTCTGATATTGAACATGTTTTGAAAGCTATGTTGTAAACAATTTATGATTTTGGGTCGGTTTTAAAAGTTTAAATTTTTCATGATTTTTTTGGATGTTACAATTAAAAGGTAAACCTCCGGTATAAAACATCTTTATTATTTCTTGATCCAATTGGTCCCTAATTTCAACCCTAAAAGCTCTTTTAATAGGTGTTGAAATACATTTCCTTTTCTTAAATCTAACATCAGCTTCACATGGCAACTCGACTTCTTTCGCTTGTGAATCAACTTTCTTATTTGCATACGCATCTTCTAATCATTTCATGTTAAGTTTGTCGGTCGATGTTGGTTTCTTGCAAATAGAAATCCTAGTACCTACATTCCAAAGTTAACATTTATGTAACTAAAAAGTTATAACATAAACTCTTAAACATTTATGTACATTCTTTAAATAAAAATGACATTAAATATGTTTTTAAATAAGTTTATTTTTTCTTGTTTTCCTATTTTAAAAGAAAATATGGAATTGGAGCACATATTGCTCGATTGTAATAATTGGATGGCTATATGTCATAAATCGAGATATTTAAAGTCAATTATGCTTAATGTTATTATGTCAACCTTTTATTGAAAAAAAATTATTAGATGATGATGATGTTAGACTTATAAGTTATGTCTCAATTAAGGACTTCAACTATCACCGTCACGATCACTAAGAAAAACACGAGCATATGGCCACTTTACAAATTATTGGCTATTTACATTGATGAACAAAGATCGTTTAATACTTTACATTGATGAACAAAGATTATGTAATACAATCAACAATTCTAATAGCAAATAAAATCCCAACAATGTCGAAGTAAGAGATATATTATTCTACATCATATATTTTTCTAATAACTAATAAGTTTGTAGATTTCCTTTTATACCAAGCAAATGTGCTCTAACTCTAGAATATGATCCTTGTTGGGTTTCACCACAAAGGTTACATTTAAATTTCCAACATCTTCCTGCTCCAACAAAAATTTTCAGTTTAGCCACATAGTCCCAGAATGAAGGTTGATCTATTGATATAGTTGATCCTTGTGTTTCTTAAAAATCCATAATCGATGGGTTTAGGAATTAGGAGAATGGTGAATTCGAAAATTAGAATTGGTGAACGGTGATTGTCTAGCAATGCAACAAAATGGTGTGATTGTCTATGATCGACAATACAATAGACAACGATCCGTTTAAGGGATTGGGGAATACGGAATATAAATTGTATAGCCTAGCCCATTAATCTTTTTGGAGTTAAACTTAAAAGCCCATTTAAAAACCTATAAGAAAATAGAAACTTCACTGAAACTTCGCTGATACGTTTCCTACCTACCGGATACTTCACCGAATGTTTCCATGACGTTTCTAAGGCGTATGTGTTTCCATGGCATTTCCGAAACAGAAACGTGACCCTAGAGTTTTCGTGCAACATAGACTACCAGCTAGTTTTGTCGAATAGATCTTATAACTTACTCTATTTGTTATAATAAATAGGGAAAACTTCAGAAAAACTCATTGTATTTTCATCAAATGCTTAAAAAAACCATTATATTATTTTTTTAGTTCACTAAAACCCTTACAATTTTAGAAACTTTTATTTAAGGTTTTTTGACCTCGGAAAAACCTAATATATTTTCATGAAAGGATTAAGAAAACCATTATATTATTTTTTTAGTACATTTAAACCCTCATATATTTTTAAAATTTTTTTAATGTAATAGATTGTAATAATCAAAACGTTAAGAATCGATTATCTAGCATTTTTAGCTATCTAGGATATACCGAGTTGGATGCCTAATATGATATATTTTTAAAAATATAAGGGTTTTAACATACAAATAAATAATATAATGGTTTTTTTTAAGACTCAAATGAAAATATGTAGTGTTTTTATAAGGTTTTCCCTAATAAATATGTCACCTTTCTTAAATTACACAAATAATCTTAGGGTCATTGTCACTATAACCCAACAAACTTTAGTATATTGGTTTAAATGGTCCCTCATAACTTTTTTTGGTAGTTTAGGAGCATAAAGTTTATTTTTACCTGCTAAAAAAGGCTCATGACTTATTATTACCGGTATTCTTAATAACATGACTTTTTTTCATAAGTTATAAGAATTAAGTGCATGCATTGATTTGACTTTTTGGCATATACTAGTACACTAATAAATTAGTTTCCTGGTTGGAGCAGAACCCTAATAATCTCACGATATGTCGATGTCTAATTCTTCCTAGGGTTTGAATCTCGGCATTGAATCCATGGTCGTGAGAAAAACCACAGCTCATGGCTGGCAATCTTTTCACTGCAACAAGTTTATTGTTGGGCATGGCGCCTTTGTAAACAATCCCGGCTCTTCCTTTCTGATGATGTTATCTTCCTTTAAAGAATCGAGAACATCATCGTAAGTGAAATCTAGGCGTTGGAAAGTAGTAAGCTTCCATGATCGAGCTTTGCAAGCTTTCTTGATAGATCGAGCTTTGATGATTGCTACAATGGTGAAGGCGATGGAACAGAGGAGTATGCTAAGAACGAGAAGAAGTTTTACAGAGGCAGAGATTGGTGATTTTGAATGTGGTTGATGGGTGGCGTTTGCGATCCCTTCTTTACAAGGTCCATCGAGTAAAAGCTTCTGCACACTGGAAAATTAGCTAATGGTGGATCGGTAAACCGATTGTTGGACAAACTAACCTGACCGAGATTCGCTGACACGGAATCAATCACCGGGAATTCGCCGGAGAGAAGATTGTTCTGAAGTTCAACCTGTGAGAGATGAGGCAAACTGAAAAACCCTTTTGGAATCGAACCATTAAGGAAATTTTCTCTCATTCGGATTCGATTCAACGATTGGCATTCACTAAGAGACTCCGGAATCGGACCAAATAAAAAGTTTCCCAAAGTGATTATCGTTTCGAGTTTGTTTCCATTACATAGATTCGGAGGAAGTGAACTTGTTAATCTGTTGGAAGACAGATCAAGGATCTGTAGCTTTCTGTTCCTGCCAAGGCCTTGAGGAATGCTTCCGGTGAAGTTGTTTTACCAGAGTTGTAATACCTCCAGCTCCGATAGTTCGTCGATGAAATCAGGAATCGATCGGTGGAGTTTGTTTCAGAACAGATTGAGTAAGGTGAGATTTTGAATTTAGGGAAGAATGAGGATAGTAGGCAGATGCGGTCAAGGAAGCAATGAGAGAGAACAAAGGCTTTCACCACCGACATAGTTTTAACAGGGAAAATCCAAGTAGATGACGTATGTGTGCCACGTTGACCATTTTCAGTTGACCAAATGTCATGTGACATATCGAAACTGATGAGTAGGAAGGGGTTCACCGGATGACCCCTTCATATTTGTTATAATAGTCTTTTAAAACGGTAAAACACAAATACGTACCCTTAAAATGTCAAAAAAAAAAAAAATCATAAGAGACCATTTAAACCAATATACTAAAGTTTGTTATGTTATAATGACAATAACCCATAATCTTATGTGGCATCACCATTAGTTAGTGTTATAAAGAAAAACTAAGAATAAGCTCAAAAAATCCATTACCAGCGCAAAAGTGTAAAAAATCAACAACTTTTTTTTGGTTCTTTGGTCGGTGTCTTTTGCTTTCCTTTTCTCTATCAACACGATTTATATTTAATACTTTCTCATAAACCAAACCGAGTATCATCCCCACATCTTAACATGAAGAGAAACAATGTCTGATTAGGGATGTAGATAGGATTTCGTGCAATTATAATATAAAAAGTATTTATACAAAAATTATTAGATTAACACTATTATTTTCAGATTATATATGAAATGAAACTTTGCTCTTTTTAAACGTTTATTGAGGGTGTAAAAAAGAGCCCTAAATTGAATACGCGTGTGTTCCAAGTGTACAGCATCAGAAGGAGGAATGAGCGTAACCTGGATTTCCCAAAATACCCCTGAGTGACATGACATTTTTCCAATTCTACCCCTGGTTTACTACATCCCTATTTAAACCCGAAAGCCCCTTCGGTTCACAATTACCACCAACTGCACTCTCTCTCCCTCCCACCACCTTCTCGCATACGCAGTCACAATCACATGGGCCTCAACTCGAACCGAGTCGATCACTATTCGGGTTCGGGTCATGCAAATCAAGGGCTCACATCAACTGCTCCGGCGACGATAACAGTTCCCGGAGAAACAATGAGGTCGCTGGAGTTGCACAATGTTTGTTTGCCGCCACAAAAAACCACCTTACAGAAACTCAGGCATCGGTTATCGGAGGTCTTCTTCCCCGATGATCCACTCCATGGATTCAAAAACCAATCGCGTTTTCGAAAACTGATTCTCGCTCTTCAATACTTCTTTCCGATCTTCGAATGGGCGCCGAATTACAATCTTACACTCCTCCGTTCCGACGTAGTTTCCGGTCTTACCATTGCTAGCCTCGCGATCCCTCAGGTATCACTTCATCTTCATCACCTTCATTAATTACTCTCTCACACACACCGTTACATACGAAGTGTGTGTGGGAGAAAAGAATTGCAGTCGGTAGTCGCATTAAATGAGTTTTTCTGATTCTGAAATCGTGAGTGCGGTTTGTCTGGTGATATGTTTGTAATTTGTTTGGGTTGCTCATAAATTGATTGCGTGTGTCAACTTTTTTGTGATGTTCGTTCGGTTCTTCATGCATGGGTTTGTACTTTGTGCTTTACTGATAGTACCTCAAACAGTAGTGTCATTTTTGTTCAAAAATTTCAGGTTTATGGTGTAATTAATTATAAAACCAATTTCATTTTTATAATCAATTTATATCCATATTTTCATCAACAGTTTTTGTTATTTGTATAATAATTAATATATAGTAATTTGTTTCAGTCTATAAGGTAAACTTTTAATTGCAAAGATTACACGTTGTTAATGCTTATTCTACTTCCTTCTTAGAAACCATTTTTTTAATGTTTATATATTTTTAAAATATATTAGTTTTCTTAATAACTACTAGAAGCAAGATTGTTTTTAAAAGTTCATTTACTCAAACTTAAAATGTTTAAAACGCCAAATTTGTGTTTTGTTTTTATTTATATATTTTATTTTTATATTTCGATGGTTTACTTTGTAGTTTTCTAGACATACAATAAAAGTGTATTTATTGATTGGATTAATAAAATAATTTTTGATGGAAACAGGTGAAAGTTTAAAGAATACAAGTGTACTTTTTTTTTTTACAAAGCCAATGTAGTGTAGAATTAGTTTTATATATTTTTAATTATAAAGTAGTTATGTAAGCAATTAATCTCACCTTTTACCATATATTGACTTAAGATTTTGACCATATCTTTCTAAAAGTATTTCGTTTAAAAATATATCCATTTTGTTTGAAATAATTGAGTATACGAATTAAATAGATGATTGTGTGATTAATATTAAACCTTAGTTGGATCAATATTAGTTGTTATCACTTGATGTAGAATATATGCTTTCAAATCCAAAAAAAAAATTATGTTATCATCTTTACTTTCCTTTCAATCCATCTTCTTCAAAAATAAGCATGAAATTTGGTACACCAAATTCTATTCCATTAATTTCACTTTAATTTAGATTATTTGTGGTTCTAAATCAACTAATTCTTTTTTAGAAAATAAAGTGACTCATATAAAATTCATCTATTATACGCTTACTACGAATTCTTCTATTAAAGTAAAGATGTTTAGTTCTTTTCATCTGAACAACCTAAGTAGTAAGAACATGATAAATGTTTTACACATCAACTAAAAAAAAACAACACTTTATGATATACATATCAAACTAATTTAGTTGTAAAAGTCAAAAATCAAAAACTATAATTACATCTCGAAATCAGGACTGGATCTTCTATTTAGAAGTTTTAGTTAAGATATGTCACATCACATGGAACTCACAAAAACGAAAATATAAATATGGTCATATCATAGGGCCCACAAGGTATTTGTAATTTGTGTTGTTTCTTATTTATTTATTTATTTATTTATTTTGTATGATTTTCAGGGGATTAGCTATGCGAAACTTGCGAACTTGCCTCCAATAATCGGGCTATGTGAGTTTCTATCTATTTATGTTATCTTCGTAACACATAACATTTTATGATTTGACTTTAAAAAATGACATTTTTTTTTTGTAAAAATGAAAAGACTCAAGCTTTGTGCCACCGTTGATCTACTCTGTGCTTGGGAGTTCAAAGCATCTAGCGGTGGGGCCAGTGTCAATAGCGTCACTTGTGATGGGAACGATGTTAAACGAAGCAGTTCCATACAACAAAGATCCAGTTCTTTACCTTAAGTTGGCTTTCACTGCTACTTTCTTTGCTGGTGTCTTTCAAGCAACTTTAGGTCTTCTCAGGTACTTTATAATTATGTAACGAACTCAATCATGAAATTTGACATCAATGTGTGGTTGAAAAAAAAGAAAAAAAAAATAGTGGTAAAGATTGGTTACTTAATGATGAAAATAAGATTTTTGAACTTTAATGTAGTGGGCACAAAAAAGGGAATATACTTTGTGAACTATGAAAAGTGGGACCTTTTTACAAGTTATACAAATGTTTTTTGGTTGTGTGCACTTTTGACTTTCAAGTTTCTGAATATAAATTCATTAGTGGGAAATAATTCAAACAGTGAAAACATTCCTTTCCTTTCAATTTCATAATCAATTATTGGGTCCACTCCAAGATCTAGCGTCCCGACATTTACTCATATTCTTCAAAATATAGCTTTTTAAGTAAATTCCATTTAATTTCTTTAACAAATGTCGGGTTAAAAAAAAAAGTTACTTTTTAAATTTTACTTTATTAAGAATTTGATGATTTTTACAGGTTAGGGTTTGTTATCGATTTCTTATCGAAAGCGACCCTTGTTGGTTTCATGGCTGGGGCAGCTGTTATTGTATCTTTACAACAACTGAAAGGGCTGCTTGGGATTGTTCATTTCACTACCAAAATGCAAATAATTCCCGTTTTAACCTCTGTCGTTCAACACAGAAATGAAGTATGTAACATTTTGTTTGTTATAATTAAAATGGTTTTATCGAAATCTAATTTACATATTAACATTATTATTTATTTATATACTTGTGCAGTGGTCTTGGCAAACCATTGTTATGGGGTTTTGCTTCTTGGGCTTTTTACTTGCCACGAGACATATTGTGAGTACAACTACAAGTTTTTTTTTTTTTTTTTTTTTTACTTTTTTACAATATAAATAGTACAAGTGGCTAATGCATGACGAATGCAGGGATTACGAAAACCGAAGCTGTTCTGGATATCAGCTGCAGCACCATTGGCGTCGGTGATTCTGTCGACTCTTTTGGTCACTCTATTCAGATCAAAACTCCATGGGATTGCAACTGTAAGGATCATTATCAATTCCTTTAACTATTTTTCATATCAAAACACGTGGAATTGAACTTTTTTTTTTTTTTTTTTTTTAATAGATCGGTCACTTGGAAAAGGGATTAAATCCACCATCATCAAACATGTTGTATTTTCACGGCGAGTTTCTCGGAGTCGCCATCAAAACAGGGATCATCACCGGAATACTATCTCTAACCGTAAGTTTCAGGTTGATGCATTATCAGGTTGTACTGTACAACACTAGAAAAACCACAAAACCCTAACTGGAAACTTAAATTTAACAGGAAGGAATTGCGGTGGGAAGAACATTTGCCTCTTTGAATGACTACCAGGTGGATGGAAATAAAGAGATGCTCGCCATTGGGGTGATGAACATGGCTGGTTCTTGCACATCTTGCTATGTCACCACGGGATCGTTTTCCCGATCTGCTGTGAACGCGAACGCGGGTGCTAAATCTGTAGTCTCCAACATCATCATGGCATCAACGGTTTTGATTACGCTCTTGTTCTTGATGCCTCTGTTTCACTACACACCTAACCTAATACTCGCTGCAATCATCATAACCGCTGTGATTGGACTAATGGATTACCAAAGCACAATCCGACTATGGAAAGTGGACAAACTTGATTTCGTGGCTTGTTTGTGTTCGTTTTTTGGTGTGCTCTTCATTTCGGTTCCAATTGGTCTTGCAATTGCGGTAATAATCTTTCTCTTTCTTTCTTTCTTTCGATTGTGTAATAATTAATAGCTGACAAAATTTTTGTTTGTTTTGTGTAGGTTGGGGTTTCGGTGTTTAAGATTTTGTTGCATGTGACAAGACCGAATACAGGTGTTTTGGGGAATATTCCGGGGACTCAGATATACCAGAATGTGAATAGGTATAGAGAGGCAAGAAGGGTGCCTTGGTTTGTAATACTTGGTGTTGATGCGCCTATATACTTTGCTAACTCGACTTATCTACAAGAACGGATTTTGAGGTGGATAAGAGAAGAAGAGGAGTTGTTAGCAGCTAATAATGGGCCTTCTTTGAAATGTGTTATTATCGATATGACTGGTAAGTTGTTGACAATAGTCAATACTTGATATTAGAAGCTGGCCTAAAACTAATTGTGTATGTATGTGGGTTTTTGTTATTACAGCTGTGACAGCTATTGATACAAGTGGTTTGGGAATGGTGAAGGAGTTGAAGAAGATGTTAGAGAAGCGATCACTTCAGTTGGTGTTGGCGAATCCTGGAGGGAGTGTGATGGAGAAGCTACACCAATCAGAGATATTGGAGTCGTTTGGGTTGGAAGGAGTGTACCTAAGTGTTGATGAAGCTGTGGCAGATATATCATCAGCATGGAAAGCTGAAGCTTAAGAAGTTGGCATGCATGCATGGGGTTTCTTGTATTTTAGTTTGCAGGGTAGGAGTCAGGAGAAGAGACAGGGTACTAAGACTTACTACTGCTTAATGCTAAAGCGGTATGTATGTGCTTAGTATGTATGTAAGAGTCACAAGCTATAAGCTGTTTTCGTATCAAAAAAAATTATATTAGTCTTTTGCTTATTTCCATAATCCATATAACTATCACAAGGAAGGAAATTTTAATTTTTAAAGAATTTATAAAAAGAAGCATGGGTTTTGCACACTGGATAACAACAACTGAACAACACGCATCTATCAATTTATGAATGATAACATCTAAACCAAAAGGAAGGAATGAAGGCTGTCTCTATAATACCAGAATTATACATATATTGGTGTGTGTTTTTTCGTCTAATTCTGATTCCAAACTTGTGACAAGAATTTTAGCATTCATCCCTACTCCTGCACTTCATCATCAGAACCATGTTTTTCATCGGTCAAAGTCAAACACCTGCATCATCATAAACCGTCCAAACTAATTATTTATTTAAAAAAAAAAAGTTAACTGAATTTTGAAAATAGCAAGGGGCAAAGAATATGATCAAAAGTAGATGAGGCATGCTGATAAAAATAATCCGTCCATTCTAATCAGGAATTATTCTTCTTTAAGTAAACAATTACCTTTGCATCTTCCTTTGGTTGATTATGCTTATGGCAAATTGGCAATGCAAAATATCTGTCTGTTTCTGTTTATGGGTTGATTAATTTTTTATTGGCAAATAGCATTTTATGGGGCCAATTTGAGCATCACCAGTCACGTGTTACACTGTCTTAACAACGGAACAAATTTCCACTACGTATTTTTATTTATTTACTTTTTTTTTCTAGAAAAAAAATATCTCTTAGAATCCCAATACCCATCAAACATCATCATTCCTTACTATTTCTTAAAGCAGGGGACAAATACAAAGTATTTCAGTAGCATAAATATATTTTAAGTAAGACTATGAGAAAAGAAATTACTCATATTATTAATAGTCAATTGATCCAAATCCCATGAAATGAAGCGTTTAAAATTACAATGCCTCACTAACGAACCTATTTAACATATTATAATTTTATAATTATAATATTTCAAAAATTACAAAAAAATCTTCAAAATTAAAATACCAAACTTTCAAACATCCAAAGTTTAGTTTTCCAACAACCAATATCAAAATACCATGAAAATAATGTGTATCAAAAACCCAAAGTTGACAACATTTTAGTCTTCATTAAAGGAATCCAAATCAATGTCTAATAATACAGCCGGATCATCATCTTCTTCACTTCCTTCAATATCAAATAGAAATTTAATCTTAACAAAACTTAAATTCAAATGGAAGGTTTAATAATAACATTGCTAGACTTACGACTTCTGAGTTCTCATTTCTCAACTTTCAACTTTCTTCAGTTAATTTTTTTAGAATTAAAAATATATATATTTTTGGACAAAACAACCAAATTGAAATTCTCTATATCTAAAGGGGTTGTTAGAAATCCCACTAAAAACGAGTCCCAGGTACTTTTTTTATCATTATTATATCTATATTTGTAATATCATTCTCGTATCTAAACCAACAATTTCATGGAAGCCAATAAATACTTTTACATTCCAATACCAAAGATACAGATTCAGAGTTCAGACCCAAATGCAGAACTTAAAGGTTAAAGCTAACATAGTAGCATACAAGCATAATGGTATCTCCTCAATGGGTTGTCCATAAATGTGCAAACTAAGGAAATGAAATATCAATAAACGAACATATTACATATATCATGTGTAGTGAAATCAGACTTGGTGAATATATATCAAAGATAGAAACACATAAGCTACTGAATGCACATTCAAAACAGAGCAAGAAAAATATTTTCATCAGTTCACAAGTAACTTGAAGAAATTCACTTACTTGATCGGAGTCTTGAAATGGGAATTTCTCGCAATTCACGTTTTATACACAAATATTCTCCTAACAAAGCCATTAGTGCCAATCCAGTGCCATTGACAATCCACCATGTAATTGATGTAGGCCAACCTCCATAAATGATGCATATGAATAGATGGATGATGTAAAGGGTGGCAGCAAAATCTAGGCACTTCTTTGCTCTCTCAATCAAATAAAGCAAGAAGCCAGCTCTGTTTGAAATCAGAAACAAATAAAGGTTAAAAAAATTTCAGAGATTTCATAATTTCACACCAGGTTTTCATGTGATAAAGACAAGATGATGTATACTCATAGGAAACAAACTTGAGAAAGAAAGACATGACCATTAGACATTTTTCATGCCATTATCACAGCAAAGGTAAAAACCATGAGTTCAAAAGAATACAGCTAAAGACAGAATCCATGGTAGAATATGCTTCATTTCCTTTGCCATACTGCATTGAATTATACTTTTTACTGAACACCTAAAGCATGCCAAAATCCAAGAGGTATGCAGACAAAATCTAACAGGTGAGATTTTTATAGAATTTGTTCTAGAAAAATTAGAAGTTACATTGCATTAAATACAATGTATATGAAACTCCCTGAAATTAAAAGTAATAATCAAATTAAGCACAAAAACTAGGAAATCATAACTCTCACCCGGCTACAGAACTGAGGATGAAAGAAGCGATGACACACCAGCCGGTAACTGTGGAGATGCTAATCGTAGCGTAATCAAAGAAGTAAACAAGGCTCATCATCGAAACCCTAGTGCCAACAAGAATAGCCATGAAAAATCCCAACGTGAGATAGTACAAGCACTGAATGCATATAATTTGAGCTACAATTAGCCATGGATCCCATACTACCGAACCATAGAACATGACTACCGATTCACTTCCACTCCTAACACCCAATTTTACAAACAATTCAAAGAAAAAAAAAACTATTCAGCTAATTTTCACAACATATGAAGGGCACGCACGATTGAACCTTAATTATCGGCGCAATCACCAGATACAATCATCGCTGTTGGTTTAACAGATACTTAATTCACTAAAACCAACGAATCAAACGACAAGGAAGGGTTTACAAAACAAATTGGAATAGATTCGAGTGAGGTGTAAATCGGCTATGAGAAACGGAGCTAGATCTAAGATTATGATTTAGGAAAGCGAAATTTGAAGATTGATTATCAGACCAAAATATGAAAATCGAAGGAACCCTAACTTAAATTTCAATAACAAAACATAAAAACATAGAATATACTTATTTCATCCATGGAATACATATAATTAAGTAAAATGATATTTTACTTGAAAACCAAAATAAAACTGCAAAATATTGGTACCTTGAGTATTCAAAAAGGATAACGTGTAAAAGCATCATACATTTTTAAATTTGAATATATTTTATTGTTGGAATTTTTTTTTAATATTTATCTGTTCAACTTGTTTAAATTGTAAAGTTTGCTCTTTATAACCGTTACTCTAAGGCCGTGTTTGATACTCGTCTGACCGAGTCAAGTCAGACATTTTTGGCTGACTCGGTCGGCTGTAGCTGTTTAATAACCATTCTGACTGAGAAATTGAGGTTTGATCCGGTAAGAGAGAAAGAATCGGCTGACTAAGAAAGGAAGACAATTATTTCCACTTGTGTATCCTTGTACGTATTTGATACTCACAGAATTGATCATCCAACACCCCCTTTGCTTTCTTAAAATCAATCACAGAATCGATGGACTGCCTCTCTCCACTTCGGTTCGAATTTAATTGCAGGTATGTTTCCCTTTCTCTTTTGCGTTTATATCTCTAGCAGTAGTAAGAAATTAACCATCTGAAATCACTTCCATTCATCTTCTCCCAATCAATCAACCAACTGAAATCATATCAGAATCCATATGCTCTTATATTCTCATTTTTCTTTTGTATCTGCTGACTGCTGGTTGAGTAAGGAAGAAAGAAAAAAGGACATTGATTTTCTCTTGGGGGTAATTTCCTTTCTCTATGTTGCTTTTCTCCTAACCTCTCTAATTTTGCTGCAGGAGTGGTGCTATGTACATTTAAAACATTCGATGGATACACTTGGATTTTTCTTACTACAACAGAAAGTTGTGCTATACTCAAGTCTAGATGCTCCCTCTGTTACTATTAAGCCCCTGAGATATATCATTATTTGTAAATCGCAAGGATGTTTTGTTAGTAGTTTAAAGTGGCTACAATTGATGTTTCTTTCACAAGGTTGCTGGTAATTCTCTTGCTTTGGACAATTTTGCCCTTGCACAAGTTTTATCCAGAAAGGTCTCTTGCTCCCCTGTTTAGTATAGACTTTGGACAATTTTGCCCTTACACAAGTTCGTTAATTTTAAGCTAAACACTCAAAACCAAAAAGCTTAAATATTCGATTGTCATAATTCTAGATTGCCTGCTGATGTTCCCTTTGTTCAAAACTTGGGGTTCTGTCAAAGCAGATTGTAAGACATCCGGGTGTTATTCTAGATGCTAAACCAAAATAAGCAATGCTTCAGTTTTCACTTCCATAAAAGTTGGGGATGCGAAATTGGAGGAGATTAATATGTGTCACACCCCCGAACCAGATGGCGGAAACGTCCGAGGGCTATTGTGACTTAATTGAATACCATCACAATGAATATACATGAATCATAACATCATTCACCACCATGCATTGAAATATTACAACCGATATTGTTTACATTCAGTACATTGTTTTAAAGCATTACATTTCCAAAACATAAACCGTTCGATATTAATTAAACAAAACATCATGATATCATTGGATACATTTTCTTCGATTTACCTGTTACCTGAGAATACAAGTATTTTGGAAAAACGTCAACATATGAAATGTTGGTGAGTTCACAAGAATTATCATTTGTCATTTTGGGCCCTTAACTTTTGTATTTTTGCCAATTTGAGCCCAAAAATGGGTTTTGTGTCCAAAAATGTTCATCCTAACCAAATAAATTATTTTTATTGACTTGATTATTGTAACATGGTATAAGCTATGTTTATTTCATTCTTCATGTTATATATCTCGGTTTTTAGGTATTTTTAGCTAACATATTCATCACGTAACACATAAAAATCATACATACATGCATAAAATCACACAAGACATACATGAACTCATAGATCTACACATTTGCTTGTATTCTCCCCCACAAAACTTATAAAAACAGAAAAATAAGGGGTATGAAGCTCACCTTGAGTTGGGTTTCGGTTTTTGGAGAAGATTGGAAGAAGTTTGATGTTGTTTTCGGCCCTAACAAGCCTTCCTTTGTTGATTTCGAACTTAGGGAGTTTCTAAGAGAGTGATCATGATTTTTACATGGATTAGAAAGAGAGATTTTTGATAAAACAAAGAATCTAGATCATTGATCCAAGCATAATCTTACCTTAGATGAAGAATTTGTGGAAATATCTTCTTGAAAAAACTTCTAAAATTCGAGATCTTGATGAATAATGGAGGGAGTTTCCTTGAGAGATTTGTGAGAGAATTGTGTGTGTGTGTGTGTGTGTTTGGAATCAACCGAGAATGAGAGAGAGGGAAAGAGAGAGATCTTGAAGTGATGTATGCATGGGAACATGGGATAAGATGCATGGAAGACCATAATGTAAAAATAAGGAGGCCATGAGAAGTCAACTCTCCCTTTTATTTGGGCTTGGGTCGAGAATTAGAGGGGAAGAGAAAAGAATTTGGGCCTTGCATGCTTAAGCCTTTTTCATGGTTATGTTAAGTGATTTTTGATCCAAATAACCATAAATATGAGTCTTATGACCTATTAGGGCTAAATTAGGTTAATTATGGCCCAAAATGGTTCATATAATTAATTTATTTCATTTTAGGCCCAAAATGGCCCATAATATTGAAAATAAATAAAAGTGGGTCCAATTATAGCCCATTCAAGAGTTCTAAGCCGAAGATAGTCAAATTGGAAGCGTATTGGTCCATTAGGCCCAATAAGGAAGTCCTAGTCCAAAATGGACTTAAACAAGGACTTCTAGGGTTTCCAATTGCTTGTTAACTATTTTTAGTGCTTGTATGATGTGTTTAATTGAAATTTTGTTGTCATAAAGTATGCATCATACATGATCTTATGTCTTTGATTCATAATTTAACTTAAGTGTTATAGTTACAAGGCACAAAATTTCTAGTTGTGACATCATCCCCCCGTTAGAGGGAATTTCGTCCCGAAATTCTTTTGAAAGCTACAATTGAGAATGCTAGAATAGGTGAGGGTACTTTTTCTTCATTTGGTCTTTGCGTTCCCATGTGAATTCTGGCCCACGCTTCGCGTTCCACCGTACTTTCACGAACTGGATGCGACTTTGCTTAGTACGCTCCACCTCCCTATCCATGACTTCGACTGGTTCCTCAACGAACAGGAGATTCTCGTTGATTTCAATCTCGTCAAGGGGAATGACGAGTGTTTCATCTGATAGGCACTTCTTAAGATTGGAGACATGGAACACGGGGTGTACATTGTTTAGCTCCGCGGGTAGTTGCAGTTTGTACGCCACTGGACCTATTCGGGCAACGATCTCGAAAGGTCCAATGTATCGTGGGTTCAGTTTTCCCTGTTTTCCGAAACAAATGACCCCCTTCCAAGGTGAAACTTTTAACAGCACTCGATCCCCGACCTGAAACTCTAAGGGCTTTCGCCGTCTATCGGCGTAGCTCTTTTGTCGGTCGCGCGATGCTTGTAATCGAGCTCTAATTTGAACTATCTTTTCTGTGGTTTCACGTATGATCTACGGTCCCGTTAACGCCTTGTCCGATGCCAGTTTCTTTGCTAGCTGGGTGTCTCCCACCTCAGCCCAACACAATGGTGATCTACACTTACGCCCACATAGTGCTTCGAAAGGGGCGACCTTGTTGCTCGAATGGTAACTGTTGTTATACAAGAATTTGACTAAGGGTAAGTGGGTATCCCAAGACTTCCCCAAGTCTATCACACATGCGCGAAGCATGTCTTCGAGCGTCTGGATGGTTCGTTCGCTTTGACCGTCCGTTTGTGGGTGATAAGCGGTGCTCATGTTGAGACGGGTTCCAAGTGCTTTCTGAAGTGATTGCCAAAAACGTGAAGTGAATCTACTGTCTCTATCCGAGATAATAGACATTGGTACTCCATGGAGTCTCACGATTTCTTGAATGTATAATCGTGTCAGTCTCTCCATCTTGTAGGATTCTTTTATTAGCAGGAAATGAGCGGATTTCGTCAGTCGGTCGACTATTGCCCATATGGTGTCTAGTCCATCTGACGTCTTGGGTAGCTTGGTCACAAAATCGATAGAAATCCCTTCCCATTTCCACTCGTGAATCACTGGTTGCTGTAATAACCACGAGGGCTTTTGGTACTCCACCTTTACTTTGGCACAAGTAAGGCATTTGCTAACATAGGTGGCAATTTCTGCCTTCATGTTAGGCCACCAATAATGTTGTTTAATATCCAAATACATCTTGTCCGAACCGGGATGGATGGAGTATCGCATTTTTTTGAGCTTCATTCATGACTACCTCCCTAAATCCTCCGAGTTTAGGGACCCAAATACGGTTCATGAAGTAGTATACTCCGTTCTCCTTTACCAGTAGATTCTTCTCCATTCCGTGTAATGCTTTGCTTGCTCTGTTTTCCGTTTTCATGGCACCTTACGCTTCCGCAGTAGGCTCTATCATGTACGCTATGACTTGTACTCGCCCTGATGTGGCCTTCGCTTTAAGCATGGTCAGCAGATATCAGGGGAATCCTGGTAGAGCACATTGGATTGCAGTTAAGAATATTCTTAAGTACCTTCGGAGGACCAAGGAATGGTTTCTAGTCCTCGGTGGGAGTGATGACTTAAGGGTACGAGGGTACAGTGATGCTAGTTTTCAGACGGATCGGGATAACTTCCGATCGCAGTCGGGCTGGGTCTTTACCCTAAATGGAGGAGCAGTGACTTGGAAAAGTTCCAAGCAAGAGACCGTAGCTGATTCAACGTGCGAATCAGAGTATATTGCGGCGAGTGAAGCGTCAAAGGAGGCTATATGGTTGAAGAACTTCATTGGAGACCTTGGAGTTGTGCCATCCATAAAGGAGCCCATGGAAATTTTCTGTGATAATGAAGGAGCGGTTGCCTTAACCAAGGAACCAAGGGATCATGGCAGATCTCGACATATCGACAGGAAATACCACTTTATTAGACATCGGGTAGAAGAGGGACTCCTCGTTGTGAAGAGGGTATCGTTAGAAGATAACCCAGCAGATCCCCTTACGAAGGGACTGAGTAGGGTCAAGCATTTGCAGCACGCTAGGAGCGTAGGGCTGAAGGAC